TAAATAAATAAATAAATAAATAAATAAATAAATAAAGTGATTTTTAGAGTTGCATGTTTTTGCTTACCTGGACTGAATTGACTCTCTTCATATAAGTCTGTGAAGTAGCCTTCCTCAAATGACTTTTTAAAAATCCAAAATCAGAAACATTGGATTAACTTCAATTAGTGTACAAAATCAATTTTACTATTGAGTGACAAAGGAATTAGGACAGAAACTAGTTATTACATAAACATAGTTTTTCAGAATTTTCTTATACTATATATTTACATGATGATATTTTTGCTACTTGAATCCATCAATTATTCACTATCTTACAGACTAACATGTTTTGCTCCATAATACTTATATACAATTTAATTTCTTTCTATACTCCCCATATATATAGAATAACTATCTGCTGGTATCAATTACTTACTGCATTTGTGATATTGCTGCTAATTATATGATGGGGTGGGGAGGGAGGATGAATCAAACAAAATTATAATTTGCTGACTTAATATTATAGGGCTTTAACTTCAGCTTTTACATAGGACAACACCACAATGAGACACATATGCTAAATGATCTACAGTTTTCCAGGGCTCAGATAGAAATACACTGAAGTTTACATAATAGGCTTGGGCAGATCCTTCAATAAGATATTTAATTTGCACATCAAATGCCTCTATGGATTATTCTGGAGGATTCTGAAGACTCCACATGGCTGTTTTGCCCATCTCACTCTGCTAACGTTATTTGTGCTATTTCATATTGCAATTCACAGAAATATCATGCAATAAGGCTTCTTGGGAATAAGAGCCAGAGTGGTAATGGCTAAACATTAAAGCTATAAAATCCATATCATAATGAGGTCACAAACTTACTAAATGGCCTCTCACATAAGCTATGTTCTTATACTTGGATAAAAAAGTGATAAGAATCACTCAGCTATATATTATATTATATTGTATTATTCTTTAATTCACAATTAAAAAGAAATAGGTTTGTCCAATAATTGGTACAGTGAAAAAAATATAAGATCATCCTGTCATCCAGTATATTAGTTATCAAAATCACAATTAAAATAAAAGTAGGAGTGTGAAGAAAGGGGGGAAATTAATAAATAAGTGGCTAATCTTTTTTTTTTTTTTTTTTAACATGGGGCATGGCAGTAGAACAACTGGAGGATGAGGAGATGCATAAACTTGCAGCTGAAGAAAAGGGGTTCCACGTCTGCTCCTAAACTACTGGCAGATCATACCTGATCATCAGTATAGCCTTCTTCAAAATCAGAGTTCTGCTTTTGTACTTAATTAAAAAGATAAATTTTTATTAGACATGCACATCTGAAAATAAAATTTCGTCTTCAATGGCACATAAAGCCAGTTTATGCATACAAATCAGATACTTATT